ATGTTACAATGATACTATTGTTCTTATTTACGGAAACAATCGTGACAGTCGCGGTAAAATATTTTTACTGGTTAACATGCCATGCGTATGATAATATCAATAACACAGCGCCCCGTGCGATAGTATAGCGAACTGTTACCTATGCAGTAAAGAGTGTGAGAGTTTGCGACTGTCAACCAATAGTAAAGCATAAACGGGCATCAATAGGGAGGCATTTATTTCATCGACAATCATTTCACCGACAGTTATTTCACGTGACACATTGTTTATCGCAATTTTCGATGAAATTTATGTCATCGACAATCATTTCACCGACAGTACGTTTTACCGAAATGAACCGGACCCCATCAATATATTGCCTAGTGTAACATATCATTACATCCGTCACGATTGTTTCCGCAGTAAAAAATTTTCATTGGCCAACAAGTTCGATAAGCCACACGTATAATTTAATTGAACTGATCTCTATATTCCTAGGGTTTGGCCCATTTCGAGATTGTTCCATTTTATCCCCGTAACAATGATATCGATAACAATGCAATATAATATCAGTGTGTAGCACTAATTGGTAAAATAATATAAAAAACTTACACTACACTACGTATTTATTACACACTACTGCGCACCACTACAACACGACCCGCCACGATTCTTTGTTTCTACTTGTCATTTTTAACAAAAAAAAAAGGTTTATTGATGATTTCAACTTACTCTATTAGAATAGATAATAAGAAGATAATTTGAGCATTGCACATTCTCTATAATAATACCGAACATTTCTTCTGAGGTGCCAGTTTTGTCTAGTGCCTATTTCACCTAGATAAATCTAATATTTTATTGCTTCATGCAATCCAACGTTGTCACAAAACGATATAAAACATCTTGCCTAAGACTTTCCACTCTAATCAATTCCGTAAACGCTGTAAATTAACCACGTCTTCTCGTGCAGCAAATGGATTGTTCAATACTGCAATAAATTCTGTCATCGTTTTAAGAGCAGTCAATGCCGCCTCGAGCGAAATCTTTTCCGAGTCTCACTGACTCCGCTGTCATTACTCTCGGGTAAGACCATTTCAATAATGTCGTCGTCATTTACCATATTAGCAAGTGAGATTGACTCGTCCGCAATAGTGGGTTTAACAAATACAATAAATTAATATTAAGCATAGTTAGTTAATAAACACAAGTCTCGTACCTTCAGCGGTCATGTTACTTTTCTATGGCATTTCTTGAAAAAAATATCTATTCTATCTTGCTCCGCTTCTGTGGTATTGCGAGCTAACGCTTCTTCTGAATTCGTAATCGGTAGGATGCCTGTTTGCCAGCAATTTTTGATAGTCTCCTGAGTAAGCTCTTTTCTTTCTGACCCAGAAAATTTCTCCGCAAGAATTAGATGCTATTATTAAGAAGAAAAAAAGAATAAACAAAGGCTTAACTCCTAATTCCACATCTCGTGAAATAATTGCCAGTCGTTGCATTCATGGATAAAATAATTTGCTTACGTCTATTAACAGTTTATTTCGCCTACTTCGGGTCGCTTCATCCTTCATCTTCTTCCCTGACTTCCCTGCTGTACGTTTTAATGTTGCAAAATATGTCTGTGCTATTCGTCTTATATTAAATCTGTTCCAATTCTTTTGTTGTCCTAAAATTATGTGTCAGAACAATGATAGTAACTAAATAAAATAATTTATACATACTTAATCACACCCTTATCCTGAATTCTATACTCTTCCTCCATCACCTTCACATATGCTTCTGTAACAAGTTCGCCTCTGTCATCAGTAAACCACGCATTTAGGTTGTAAATAAGCCCTATGTCCAATTTCGCGTTATCAGGTAATACACTACCCTCAATTAACTTGACTGTATGTATGCACTGTTTTTATCATCTTCAAGATAATAATAAGGAGCAGCAAAAATCATTGAAAGTGAATACTGCTGACAGTATAAGTAATAGCTTGCAAAAGCAGAAACTGCAATAAGCTCCCCACGATAGCCACCAAGCACAACACTTTTGATAGTAGAAGTGAAAAAATTCCAAAACATCAACAGATGGGTCATTCATTATTTGTGATGCTGCTTCTGTAATGATAGGTTCTAATGGTAGACTAGTTGTACGTACGTAATTCCATCCCATTGCTCAGAGACATGAAGACAATGCCACATGTGGCTTGAGACTAGCTGAGAGGAATTGGAAAGATATCAATACACCAAGAATTGTAGGGTTTGTGCAACACCAAATATTCTCCTGATCTGTTTCCACCAAGTGAAGCTAATACTAGTTCCTTATTCCTTGCCAAATCAATTACACACCTTTGATAATCTGAAAGTAATGTAATAATTCACGTGATTTTAGTCGATACGAATATCCAATCAAAATTATTGATTTTATTATGGCGATAAGCACACTACAAAATTTTATTAGAGATTAAATATATTTCATATTTAACTCCTCTTGTCGCAAGTATTACAAAAGACTGTCAATACTATTAATAGCTTCTGCTGATGATACCTTTCTCATTTCCTCCTCCTCTTCTTCTGAATGTCCTTGAATAGTTGCTACAATTTTTCTCATAATGCGTGAGTCTTAGACACAGCGATGCTGGAAGCTTTAGATCTTTATTGATGAGATTGAGATCGATAATTTTGATTAGTTAATTCCTATAACGAACTTTCGTTATACAAATAAATTCGCCCATGTGAATGTGCTTTATTTATACATGGATTTTGAAATCTTCGCTCAACGTTATATAGCACTTTATATACGAATCTTCGTTTATCTAAAATGATTCTGTTGAGAGTGAACTGGTTCCAGAAAAATACTTCGTTATAAGCCATCTTCGTTCAAGTGAGACTTCGTTAAAGTGGATTTCACTGTGTATATAACCTGGTGTAAGAGTCATATTGTGAGACTGTGCTTCCAACAAGCTCCATAATGGTCTTCCCCCATCAAAACATGCATGCTGGATTGTTATATGCAACGGTATTTAAATTAAATAAAATATCACAACGTTTTGACATGTGTAAAATCGCAAGTCGATCTCACGTGATATTAGAAAACATCATTACTATATTAGTAGCGGTCAATCTAAAAATTATTATTTTATACAACAAAAAACTGCTTGGCAATCAATATAGAATTATATAATAAAACGCTAAGATAAATAGATAGTAAAAAGCTTATTTGTTTCAGAATTAAGAGATTTGAAGCGTGGGCATTTTACTTTATTTAGAATAATGATTCACGATTCGCCCTCTACATTTATTTTTATATCATTAATATTCTCCGTTATATAAATAAAGAATTTTCAAGTGGACGAAAAATATTTTTCGTAATTCTGACAGGATATTAGCGATAGTAGAGCAGTTGGGATTATTTAGTCACGTAACTTTCGACAAGTCGGTCTACCGTGCATAGCCATCCATGACCGATTATCGACATAAATTTGTTCATTTCCTTTTTCTTGGTTGTCCCATTTTGAATCGCTCCAAAGAGCTTTATCAAATAAAGTTTTAAAGTCTTTCCATATATTTTCGATATCCTTCACGTATTAGTATTTTCGCTCACCGAGTAGTTGGATTTCACTTTATAAATGTCTTACCTCAACCTGCCTGAATAATTGCTTCAAGCTTTTGGTTTAAAGTAAGGGCAAGCCTAATTAATAACCCAGACAATGGTGAGCATTTTTGTAGTTTTTTTATGGAACGTACTCCCGCATTGCACGGGTTTTTCCATTTCCCCGTAGTTTTCCCCTGCGAAGTTACATTGAATTATCTACGAGACGATTAGATGAGTTACAAAGAGGTCAATGTGTTATTTACATTAATTGATAAACATGTGCGGTGACGCAAACGGGGTAAAAGTTCTGCAAGAACAACGACTCTCATGAATGCATCCTCCCTAAATGGAGTTATGGGTAGCTTGGCAGACGTCATGTGAACAGGGTTAGTTGGTTAACATTATTACACAAGGAACACAAGAAACATGAACTGATCGGAATTGAATACAATGTATTTACTATAATAGACCTTGAGTATAAAAGAGATGCATGAGGGTGGGCAAAATTCGGACTTTTGGGCGTTTTCCAGACTGTGTATTCTTTGATAGACTGTACATATAGATCAAGTTCCCATCCTATTCACTCCGTTCTCGTAGGCAGTAAATCCGCTGGAGATAATGGTTCATTCCCGCAAAAACACAAAAAGTTTTCTATTAGGAAAGAAGAAGTCTCTACTGCTGGCAGTTGGATTCTCATTGTTTCTTCTAGCATTACACAGTGGCATTCTCTATGAATCCTCGGACGAGACATTGAATACTGGAACAACTTCGAATCCAGTTCCTATACATTATAGCACTCAAAATACTATAAAATCAAAAGACATAAACAAGACACTATCTCCGCAGACGACAATAGAAGCCATTCCATCGGAGTCGTCCCCTACAAAGACACATCATGTTCAACCGTTCACTTCGAACTACTGGCCGTGGAAGCATGAGACAATAATAGAATTGCCAGTTGATCCTAAATATGGTGTTCATGTGTCTGACAGAAGCTACTTTCATAACGGCGTTCCCATGTACAAGCTTCCCTCTGCGTCATCGTTGCCATCATCGTCATCAGAGAAATATATAGCTTATTTACCCCATAGCCAGTTCAACAACCAACGCATATCACTCGAGAATGCCATCCTCCTTGCTCGTTACACAAACCGTACTCTGATCATACCTCCGCTCTTCCTTGGCAGGACACAACTTCCTTGGAAGCCGTTTGACGTGTTATACTCCCGTTTGCAAAGGCTAAACAAAACTGGTGACGAGTTGTGTTCTTTACCCGGCAACGACGAACGAGAGTGTCTAGAATTTTACAACCGATGGACTACTCTCAGATGGGACGAGATATTCGGTGGTATCGATCTTTTCTGTAAAGAAGAGGGAATTAGAATCATTTGGGCCAACAGTATGAGTTTAGATTGGATAAAGCGCAAGATACATGTTAAAGATTCAGACATACATTACTTAAGAGATGGTACAATGTACGGCGCTAAGGTGTATGACGATCCCAAGAGTCAAACCATGTTGGGTGTCTATGCCGCAAGGCTAGATGTAGACAAACTCAAATCAGTCCCTCACAAACTTCTCTATTTCGAATCGACTTATGGCATTGAGCGCGTATTACGCGAAAAGCCTGCCAACAATGCCTTCTTCAACCGCCTCATTCGTCGCCTAACAATAACTCATCAGGCCGTAATCACAACAGCCAACAAAATAGTATCTCGCCTCGGTGGTCAAGGCAAATATATCGGAGTACATATTCGAGGCGGCGATTCTTTCTTTAACCGAAACTTTCCCTCCAACCTCCGTATTCTTATGTCTCAACTTCATACTGTCTATAATCTGACTACCTCTCCCAAAAAGACGGTATTAAAATACCGCGATACCAAAAAATGTCTCCGTCAGAAGAATTTGCCGCATCCACCGTTGTACGTTGCCACCGATTTGGTCGATCCGAGGCATGAAAAGGCGTCTAGGCCGTTATTTAGAAATTTTTCATGTGTTGTACTCTTGGATGACTTTGGACCGCTATTAAAAAAGCTGGACAATTACAAGAACAAGAGAGATAAGTTGTCGTTGAAGCCGTTCCTGATTCCAATGGTTGATATGCTCGTCGCTTCCCAGGGGAGCATTTTTGTTGGGACTCCTGGGAGCACGTTCAGTGCATTTGCTGAAAGAATGCACGAAACTTTGGTTAAGCAGGATGACGAGAAGTAGGAAATAAAGGAGACGTAGGATGGTTGTAATGGCTGTAGTGGTTGAGCTAAAGCACAATACGTTATTAACCACACACTCGGAAAAAATAGAGTTTGTTGGCAGTGTTTCCCTTACAGGATGTGGGAGTCGGTTTCACGTCTTAATTCAGAGATTTAACTTTGTATTTAAAACCTTCTACGATTACAGTTCTTGTTAATAACAGATTTTGTCCAAAGTATAAATAATAAAGTCAAACTGGTAAAAAACTAACATTTTTCTTTTTCAATATTGGGTTTGCGATAATTCAGATGGTTGTGCTCTGATGTAGAAGGAACAAAGCATTAACGTTAACGTTAATATTTCATTTTCTATGGTCATCGGAATTAAAATAATAAAAAGTCGACTGATTAGAGAACTAATGCTATCACATCTCAGCACGCGATGAACCGCATGTGTGGTCACTTGTTTGGTGATCCGAATGCTATTTATAGAACGAATATCTAGCTGTCATTATTCTCCCACAACTTGACCCTATAGAAGTATCATATTATTTATGTTCTTTCTTTCGTAGATAAAATCATTTATGGAGTTTCCTGCAGATGTTTTAAGTGTACTCCCTGATACGATTTCCGTGGTAAAGCCAAGGGACTTGGTCTTCGTCCGTGGCGAGAGCGAGTATGAATCAGCTATCATATTTTGTACGTAATTCTGTTTATTCTTCCTTACGATTAATCAGGATCCTATAACTGTTGAAGCAAACAGAAAAGTTTGCGCTTAATTATCGATGCTATGGGCGAGGCCTCTGCTGCAGTAAGTTTATCAGTCTTTGTGGTTTGGGAACGTCTAGTTTTCACTATGTTAATGTTTTCCCGTTTAACTCTAAACAGGCTCAGGATCTTAAAACTGTCATTACGACCACTCACAAGTTCAAAGAATCGAAGCATCACTTGTATGTGATCAAAGACCAGCAGAATGTTTGCGTTGTCGGAATTTTGAAAGTTGGCAGAAAGAAACTGTTTTTGGTGGTATGCTGTTTGCTTGCAACAGATATTGCAAATCTTGTTCACTGTTAATACTGTATCTACGATTCAACAGGAAGAAGAAGGCATTCAATACGAAATCGAGCCGCTTTGTATTCTCGATTTCTATGTTCACGAAAGTTTTCAACGTTTAGGATACGGGAAGAAAATATTCGAGACTATGTTGGGGAATGAAAACGTAGAGCCCCACAATCTAGCATATGACAGACCATCTGAAAAGTTCTTGTCTTTTTTAAAGAAATATTATAATCTTGCAAATTACACGCCACAACCGAATAACTTTGTTGTATTCCGAGAATATGAATTCCAAGGTGAAGAAGAGTTCCGAAACTGTACCAAGGAACGATTATACCCAATAGCCATTCTGATATGCACGCATTCAACGATTGCTTCTCGAAATTTCATTCTATTTTAACGTATTTTCTTGTCACTCTGATATTAGAGTTAGACAAATCTCCTTCAAAGGCTACAAGAAGACTATCCCAACCACACGACGATTGCACCCCTCCCCGTACCAGAACCATGCCTCACCACGGTCGTTGTTCTTCATTGCCAGTCTCGCCACAATCTACGAGTGTGTCGTATGCTTCTGTTTCAGCGACTACGTTAACCGCACCGCCAACAGAGTCTTACATCCAGGCAAAACGCAACATTATCAACCTCAATCAAGAATATAGGCGCCAGATGCTTTACGGAAGTAATCCTTTGGTATGAAGGGGGATGAGAAAGTTCTTTGTCGGAGGGAGTTAGACAGAGTCTTTTTCTTTTTATTTCCTGCCGGTCAGGAATGAAAAATTTTAGCGATCGAGAGAATAAAGTTTAGAGCTGAAAGTTGGAATTATAACTGTAGTAGTAAATATACTCGATGCAATGATGGATCAATCTCCGAGACGTATTTTTGAGATTTCAAGTATCAGAGTTAGAAGCATCACGAAAACAAAACATATTAACAAATCGTTAATCAACTTATTTAACGTAGCTTTAACGTCCTGCGTTCAAAAAACATATTAGACTATATTGATACAATTGATCTGCTTCCATGATACATAAGAATCACAGTATGTACAACAGCTAGGCTAACGATTGCGGAGAGATGACAGTGGGGCATATTATTATTATTGGGACTATCGGGAAAACCGAGACATCGGATCAGCAGGTATCTTACTATTACGGATATCTCCACCACTTAGCCATATCAAGACGGCTCTTTTTCAAATCTACTCATTTATCTCTCAACCCTGCTGTATCTACAATTGAATGTTGCACACAGGTAACAAGCGAGTGTTGTCCGAATCCGATTTGTACGACTGGAGGTTGCTATTGTTGCGGCTTTCGATATTTCCTTTAATGAGGTATAAAGAACTTTTATGATAAACAAAGAGAAAGAGGATAGGCCAGTCAAGAAAATGATCGAATTATCTTGTTATATTAATATTTGAGAAACCATCTATCTGCCTTATGCATTCCAATCTGATGTCCGAGTATTAAAAAACATCCTCTTAATCTCCTGATTAATCCAATTGAGGATACATGAAGGCTGTATGAGTATCACATGAGTATAATACACGCACGCCCTCAAATTACTGAAGAAGTAAAACGTCTTATAATAAAACTGACTTAGGGAACAGTCAAGCACCTATTCTAAAAGTTGCTTGACAAAATAGAGCATTGTCACCCGTAATCCCAGAATCTAAAAGATCAGAGAATTGAAAGAGTGGAAGAAACGACTGAGAGCTTGTGACGATTCGAAATTTATACGAGAACCAAAAGTAAAAGAATGAAGTCAATTTGCGGAATTTGTGAAATAGAAGTAATAGTTAAAATATGAATTTAAAAATTAGATTTCTAAATCTCAAACAAGACGAAGCAAATAAAAACTGGCATCATATACAAAAATGACAATAAGTTTTACATATTAATATGCGCCTTGTATGATTCTGAACGTCGTAGCGCCCGGCACAAATACTTTTCCATCGCACAATGGTGTCACATGACGTTAGTGGCTTTAATTCAAAATCTCAATATTCACATTAATATTAAGCAAAGTCTAAATTAGGAGGAATAGGCTCCCGCGTCAGCCTAAGCTGACTCCTTTTTTGTAAGATATCGAAGAAGAATGTTGCGAGGACCATTAATATCTCTATCAAGGTTTGTTTTACATTGGGGACAGCAAAACACCTTAGATCCACCTAGCTTTTTATGAATATAACCACAGGATCCACAAGCTTTACTTGAGTATTCTTCTGTACAAATTACTACTTGACACCAAGGATGCTCATGTGCCTTATGCTGTTTATTATACGATAGTTTTCACAAAGCCATTTAGCTAGTTTATAATGACAATCATTCACAAGACAACGGATCCTCTTGTGAATGCGCAACATAACACGACGTAATCTACAATTGAAAGTAGTATATATGTTAAATTATTAAATTAATAAATAATTTAATAAATAAATTTTACCTGTAACGTTTTCGCTTATTTTTTTCCCATGAATACAATTACGTTTACTTTGAAGCTTGTCACATGCATGACTTAATCGATAAATTCGGCCAATATCATTTTTACCCCATTCAACAGCTACTCCATAACCTGTCATAAATGTAGATCCAGAGAAATCACTCCTGATCCCTCCTATTAAATTATTAAATATATAATTAATTAAAGTTTTAATTTAATAGATAATATAAAAATTAGATCAAAACCTTTTGAGATATAGGGCCTTGGTTTTTGGCCCGTATTTCAAGTGGTCTGGGTATACAAATATAATGTTTCCCAAGTTGATTCATAATAAGGCAGCTATCATATTCAAGTTTATTTGGAAGAGGTTCTGCTGACTTGATTTTAGAAAAAAAATGAATATTCTCCATGAAACTTGCCCAGTGTTTAGAAAGATCATAATTGATTGTTGAGGATCAAAATCAGATGACGGAATATATTAATATCAATATACTCCCACGAATTCCTTCAATGTCATGGAATGTTCAATCTCCGCATTTCAAATCAAATATAATTTTAACAAACACAGTTAACTCACATTCTTAAACAAACCACATTTTTACAATCCTCGCCTGCCAACATATGCAAAGTTCAAGGCTGTACTAATATAGCCAACTACAAAGCTAATGTTGGTAACAAACATAAACATGCCATAGCAAGAGTATGCCTCGAGTATGCCACAGACAATATTAATGGCAAACCCACTACTGACTTCCAACTGATCAATGCTGATAACATGCATATTCACTCTCCACAATAATAATAAGCCTAAGTGATGAAGATGGGGATGGCAGGGTAAAACAAATTGTCAAAGGCCTCAATATCAAGGCAAAACCCTTCACCAGCTTAACCTCAAAGACATAGAAAACCAGAAGCAAATCTGACCCCACCAAAGTACAACAGTAACAGATCACCTTTGATATTACTAGCAATGAGGACTTCCCTCCAATCTCCTCATCTAAAACATTGCTGGAAAATCCTTGCTCAAATTCTGGTACCACCAAGAAAATTAGTGGTGTATTAGAAAAATCAATCAACAAAGCAACACAACCAAAAAGGATGTAACTGCACAAAAGGGTTACACCATCCCAAAACACATACCAAAAAAGGCCAAAATGAACAAATCAGCTAGGAAGCCAAAGGAAGTGGATGCTAATAGCTCCAGCAAAGAAGAGCAGACTAGTACTAGAGGCTTTGGATCTGTTATGGTCCCCATTACTGACTGTCTAACCCCCTTCCACAAAACCCATCAAACTGCAATGCCATCAAACTGCAGATCGATGGTGAACCCATTGGAGCTGCCCTTGACTGGGCCCCCATTCACCTCATCAAGGCACATGCAGCCAGGATGAATGGCAAGCCCATGGACTGGAGCCTGAAGAATTTATTTGCATAATTACTTATTACAAAAATAAAGCTAAAGTTAAATATTTATATGAAAAAAATAATATTTACCTGGCAGAATGCTTTCCTTGTAATCAGCAAATGAAGGCTGTATTATTGGTAAAGATAGTTTCTATTTATCTGTTGGGTTATTATTATCTTCTGAGAGAACCATGATTTTTGTGCCATTAAGCTTGAAGACAAACTCAAGAAGGTCAAAGGCAAACTGACACAGCCTGTCTCTGTGGGCAATAATAACTTCTTTGATATTGACCAGTCTGCAACTTGATTGTTCCAGTAGGGAACTCAATCTGGATCTCTTCAAATTGATACTGGAGCTGATGTCTGAAATAAGGCAATGGTTTGGAAACTGCAAGAGGAGGTATTGTTTTGTCTTTCAAGATCTTCTTTCTGTTTTGAGCTTGAGACCCTGGCATAAACAAAAGATTCATGTTGGGATCCAAGGAGGAGTGGTGGTGGTGTTAGCATTGTTTACAATTTGGATTTCAAATGAGCAAAATATTGCAATGGTTAAAAGAGTTTGGGGGATAATGTCTTTAAATATGTTTATGGTTGTTGGTATTTGAATGGCAGAACTGAAAACATGCATAAAACATGCAATCTTATATGGAGCCTACATGCATGAAATATACAATCTTATATATGCAAACACAGAGATCACAGTCACAAATCATTAATCAGTCACATTTGCTGCACATGAGCAAAATAAGTTCATGGGTAGACAATGGCAACATTTCCCATTGTTGCAATGTTTCAACTGAGATATCATATGTCTCTTGGATTTTACTTGCACTTTTGTAGTAGTATATAGTAGGTAATCTTATTCTAAACCAGGGTTTATGTTGATGTCTGTGTGATGGTGGTAGGAGGTTGAGAGCTTTTTTTGTCAGTAGGGCTTGGAGTTCTGGTGAACTCACTGGGGAGACTCTTACAGCCACTGCAGGGAGCAAGCTTAGATCCTGAGTCTTAGTTGCAGTTGCTGATTTGCTTAAGGAAGAAGCTTCTTCATTGGACACTATTTCCTTGATTTTACTGAGGATTTTCTGTCCTTGGAAGGTTTTGACTTGTGTAAGGCACATGCATGGTCATAAGGTCTTCTTCATTTCTTGTGAAGATGGCAACACAAGTGCAGTTGGGAGCTTCACATAGCTTGCTCACCTTTACATTTTTTTCTAGGGACCTGGAGAATACTGTGCTGTCTTTGAGGGAGCTCCTCTCCTCTGCTCAAATGTCCTCTTTCAGCATAGTCATGCTACTAAGGGGCTTTTTTCTTCTTTTCCCTTTAGTCATAATGACTTCAGAGAGCTGGGGCTGTTTGAAACTTGTTGTTTGTAGTGTTTAGAGTGTGTTTTGAGATGTTCACAATAGGTACTTGTTAATTCTTTTCTTTAGTGACAGATTTGCAAAAAAGCAGGGAAGAGAGAAATGATTTTCCCTTTTTTTTTTCTTTCTGATCATTGTATTAGTATTAAAGAATTATAAAGAATTTGATGATTTAAGGGGAGTCCAAATCTGAAGAAATCAAACCTGGTGCCATAATAGGATTGGAAAGCAAATGCTGCAAAAAACTCCCAACTCTTCTAGGAAATATATCAATTACTAGCTCTGGCTCTGGCTTGTCAGCATCATTGGATGTTTCACCAGAGGAACTCTCTGGAGTTTCACTAGCCTTGTCAAAAGAAACCCACGAATCTGCAAATGGGTCATTACCAATGCCCAAAAGAACTCTGGCTTTGAGGTGTTTCAAGGGATTGAACCAAGTCTTTGCTGTTGTTATAATGTAGGATTTCTCGTTTATAGTAAAGAATTTCTGATTGGGATTGATAGGACTGCTGAGTAGTGTGGGAACCAGAAGGCGTAGCAGTGAATGAGATTCAAGGTTAAGAAGCAGCGTGGTATATTTCCCAAAGGCCCGATTGACAATTTGGCGCACTGTGTTTAACCAATTTTGTCGTGTTTTTCGCTTATGCCTTGCCCTTGATGCCTTGATCTCACGCACCACCAGAGCATTAGCAAAAAAGCGTAACTCAATTAAGCGCGCTCAAGCACGCATGAGAAGACGTATTCAAATTAGTACATAAAAAAACTGCATTGCATTATGGTTGACTAAGACTTTTGACATAATTGTGTTACCAAAATTTAATAGCATACAGATGTCTCATAGACGAAAAAGAAAAATTAATAGTAAAACAGTTCGGAAGATGATGAGCTGGGCGCATGCTAGGTTTTAGGAATCGATTGTTATCTGAAGCGGAAGAATTTGGTAAAATCGTAATAACATCCGTATCTAAAGCATATACGAGTAAAACATGCAGTCGTTGCGGAGGAATTTGGGTGGACTTCAGATCTAAATGGTGCCCGGGGAATTTTTCTCTGGGCATTGCTTGATGGAGCCTTAGTTATGTAACATAATTATGCCAATTGATTGAATAGTTAGCTATAGTTGATCGATTCAATCCATCCGTGAGTAGACTTGTAGTACGAAAATTGTGGTTTATTCTGGAATGTTCGAAAATTGCACAACGGATCGGGGTTTTACAATTTACTCGGTAGTTAACAGCATTAGACACCGTTATCGCCAACTTAGTGTATGTATCCCACTTTTTAATAGTTCTCAGGGTTTCAAGTTTGCCTTAAAATAAATTTAGAATTAATTAAATGTTTTAGTGTAAAGATCCAAAATGGCTTGGTTTTTTTCTCAATCGACAAATTAGAGTTAAATTAGAAATCAAATTCTCCGCGAAATTGATTAATGTCAAAGTCGGCGTCGACCTTGTTAGCCAGATCTTCTCGATCCTATACTCAAAAGAATTATACGCTCGTTTTAGTAGGAGTTACAACACGTAATCAATTTTGAGTGAAATTTGATCTATCTTACCATCATCTTGAACGTTTTCCGAAGCGTGTCTCGGAGACTTCGACTAACGTTCACACCTCCATTCGTATCAACAATAGTCTGGTGCATACTCAACGCCCCCAATAGATGTTCAGTTGCCTCTTTATAACACCCAATATTAATGCAACTAACTCCAAGATTGTAACGTGCTCTTACAAAGGTAGGTTTCAAATCAAGTGCTTTATAGTAAGCGTCTATTGCTTGCTCTGAGCGACCCGAATTTGCCAGAGTAGCACCCAAACGATTCCATAATAAATGATCTTTCGGTCGACTATCTAAAGCAGCGCGAAAGCAGTCCACAGCCTTATCGTAGTCAGTATTACTGTAGAAGAGAACGCCAAGTCCAACTTGCACGTCAGGATCCATCTCATGTCCAGAAGGCGCACTGCGAGCAGCTTGAAGAAACAATTCGGTTACACGCGAATGTGCATTCTGGTGTACGTCTGTAGGTATTGATCTTGCCGCTATCTCGGGATACTTGACCGCCATCCATCGCTCAAGGGTAAGATAGGATTGATAGTCGTAGCCTTCATTCGTATAACTCACTGCAAGGTTCTATAAAAAGTGTTAATAGAATTACCGTTAGAACTTGAAACATTTTTGTCCTTACCATCAGTGCATTCAAATTATGCCTATCAATTGAAACAGCCTTTTCTAAGGCTTTTATTGCGGGGTCCTCCTTCTCGTTCTGTGCTTGCGTGTTACCCAGCCATGTCCAGACCTCTGAATTAGTCGGATCTTTCTGGGCGGCAGCCTCAAAAGCTAGCGCTGCATCTGATAGTGAACCTCCTTCCTCTACCAGCCTAATTCCCTCTTTTAATGGATCAGGATGCATTTGATAAGGGTTATTTGGTTCGAAAACATATTCTCCGAGATTTGCCGACTCATGTTCATTGAATTCAGAAAATTCCTTCTCCCATGACAAATGATCAGTTGGATCGTCTAAAGACTCTCTAACATTTGACCAGACCTCCTCAAACAATTTGTGGTCTTCTCTAGATAGCTCTTCTTCGAAGGATTCAGCCTGAACATCTTCAGCTTCACGTTGTGCTGCAGCGAACTGTTCCTCCCAAGATACATTATCTAATTCAACTATTTTACTTTTGCCTTTATCGTGTTTAAGTGCGTACTGGCTAGACCAATCAAAGTGCTTTTGAAACGCTTCTTCAAACTCAGGAGGCATTGCTACAGACTGTAAGCCTGGCATGTGAGAATGATTCTCGAATTCAGCTCGCCATGAGGCTATGGAATGCAAAAATTACGAAGGTAAATAAAAAAAGCAGCCCGAGAAAGGTTAATTAATGATGAACAGATTCATTTACCTCCGACATTCATGCGTTTAAATGCCTCCTCCATTTTAGCGTGTTCGGCCGCAGTTAGTGCGCTATCGAACTCTGCTACCCATTCTGCGGTACGGATTTAACGAGAATTAGAGTTCTTGAAAGAATTTTGTTTGCAGCAACACATACTGCATATATCTCAAAATCTATCTACCTGGCTGCGCAAGTTGATGCCGTTGATTCTCGACTACATGCAGGGAATGAGGTGCATCTACGGAAACTATTTGACCATGATCGTGCTGATCAAAAAAATCGTTGGCGAACTGCAACACACATCATTTACAATAAATATGTCAGTTATGTTGGAGACTCGAATAGTTATCACAGTCGAAACATTTACCTTGTTCTCGCCGGCGAGCTCTTGTTTAACTGTGCGAAACTATCATTGTGACGTTTAATACAGAACAATTGAAAGCTAGGAATGGGGTAACTGCGATAGTAAATTTCCTTACCGTACTAGGCCCAACGGAATCTCTTGCGGGTATGAAAGCGTCCTACGGACATTCTTATAGTTATTTGAAGGTATACACAGCCAAAACTTTCAAATGCACCCCTTCCCCCCCAATGCGCCCACTATGCTTTTTCCTCTAACACATTCGAAAGCACGCAGAGCAATTTAAGTAAATGCCCTCCGTAATGCAACGCTTTGATTCCAAGGAAGTGCATTTTGGAATTTCTCGTAGCTACCTTCTGAAGCGATCGATCTTCGTTAAACTGTTTCATTATCTGTGTCATAGGATTGGCACCAGAGGAGCATTCTGCTCCTGTGACTATGTTTTGGAATGCCATGTTATTGTATATTATACACTACAAACAGATCAACACGAAAAGTGTAAATGCATTTAATCCTGATGATCATGTGACCACGTGAAAGAAATTATTGTCGGAATTCGAAGGAAACTTAATTAGTTGAATAACTTTTTTTGGAATTTCAACTATTACCAAAATGAAAAACTTTCACATTCCCATACTAATACCAATAATATAGTAACAAACTCTCTAATATTAAAAGTTGGTTTTTTTTTGTCTAAACTAACATTAAATATCTATGTAAACTCGCACGTTAACTCAATACGAATTAAAACCCGTCATGTTGGAGTTCACACTATATGCTGAAGCACCAGTGAATTGAGGTGCAATCCTACATGAAAGGAAGACAAATTAGAACATTAATACACATGCATTTATTATTATGGGCAAAATCAACCGAGGTCGCAAAAAGAAAAGGACAATTAGAACGGGAATTAGAGAAAGAAAAAGAGAGGGAACGGGAAAAAGAACGAGAATTGGTCGTTATCGTCATTTATATCATTTACAAGCCTACTTACCCTTGGCCGGCTCCTTGCGTAAGGAGTCGTTGATTGCCCAAAGCAAGAGGGATAACCGGCGTTTCTAAATAAGAAGTGCATGAGTCTATCGTCGTCATATTAAATTATGACCAAAAAGGGTCTTCATGATATCTACTCACCACTTTCAATCTTCTCCCTATTTTCTTCTTTTTCCGTCAATTCAGAAACGCTCTTTTCCAAAAAGTTGATCTATAAAGTATAATCATTTAGCACCATATCACAACGTGACACTACCTCGCATGCGTAATAATAACGCACCTTCTCCATAGCGCCTCTTAGTGATTGAATCATATACGGCATAGCGAAATCCATCTTGTTGTGTCGCCATGCATTCTCTAATACAACGTCAGGCCTCACAAGATCATAGCATGCATACAAGCACGCCGTGAAATCTTCTTCATTACCGATCTGTAAGAAATACAGCATTAACTCCTCTGCAACTTCAGTTGACTGTGACATACTCGCAGTCACGATCGCGTCTTCCCAGATACGATCTTCCTTTGATAATGCAATTGATTTGTTCCAACGCTTATTCTTGCGGAAGATGTGAGCAGCAATCCTACGAAATTCAATACGATCATGCTTTTCGAGTCGTGACGCTAGTTTGAAATTATCAAAATTATCAAAATTGTCAATCGAATCACGAAGTGCTGTGTATTCGCCTTCTTCTATGGCAAGGTCATTGTATGCCTCGTTGACAGCTTCGATATTTTCCTACAAGAAATGAAACACGATGAAATTATAGATCCAAAGTGTATTTCGAAGAAAGAAAGAATGAAATACTGACCCTTTGAACAGATATCAAGTAAGATTTGATCAACGGCACATTGTCAGACTTTTCAAACATTCTAACCACCCGAGTATGATCGACGCGAGACGTTAAGGCAACAAGTAAATCGTTCAATAATAACGGATGCTCATCCAAGTAGAATTTCAATGCCTTTTGTGAATTACGAAGAAATTTCAATTAATATTAAATGCATCCACTGTACGTTAGAAAATAAGGGAGCTACCGAGACTCGCTATATCTACCTTGTAGTAGATCTCAAGATTTCCAACTTTGACAATCAAAGTCTTGAAATGATCATGATCCCAAGCATCGGCAGAATGCTCCATCATTGACAAAGCTGCGTTATCAAACTCTTCGTAATTTTCATATAGGAATACCATCTCTTTCCATAGACAAGCATTTTCACAGCCACGAATAACTTTAGGTATATTAAGACGTTGCCAGAAAAGACGTAAATGCTCATCTGTTTTCTCGGGTCGATACTTGGTGTATAGAACTGCTAATTCAGTGAACATTCCCATATGCGCTCGTTCTAAACCAAGACCAGCTTCGAGAAGTGAGAATAGTTCCTCAATATGGCCTCCGCGCTCATAGTTACGAATTACAGCCTAAAAGGAAATATAGTTGATAAACAAAATATCTATGTTGCACTATTCAGGATGACACATTTACTTACCTCAAGTTCTTCCGCATGAACGATCAGATTTAAGCCGCATATGTGAGCCAGTCGAAGCTTATCATGTTTGAGACAAGCCTTGTGAACATCTTTCCAAACCCTAATAACCACAATGTATGTTAGTCAAAAATCAAAACCGTACAAGCGACTTTCACTCGGAACAAAGAGTTTCATATTTAGAACATACTTTGTATTGCCTGCCTTGCGAGCGCCGTCAACTGCAGCCTGGTACTCGCCTAGATGAACCAAGGTCGAAGCCAACCGAGCCCAGTTAGAAATACTCGAGAACAAACTCTTAGCAGCCTGATACAACTCGTGTTCGTAACACCGCTCGCCAACAACTTGGATCTGAGCAACATTGGGTTGTCTGAGGAATTCCTCGAGATCTGAGTATCTTTCAGTCTTTGCGTAGGCAAAAAGAAGTTCACTGTCCACCATCGGTTCACGGACTCTTTTGCGGCACATCTGCAAGTAACGCACGAGGTCTTCGAATTTTCCTGCACGAGAAGAGTAATCGATCACTTCCTGGAAATTGCTTGGATCATCGGCGCGGATATACGAGTCTTGAATAAAGAATTGTTGCAATATTTTAGTAATTAGCGCAGACAGAAAAACAATCTTCCGAATGTATGATTTCTCATAAATACCAATGGAGTCCCTAATTCGTAATCCTGCCAATTGAGCCTTAGCCACGAGACTCCACACTTCTGGCGTATCGGCGCGCTCTGCATACTCAACAGCACGATCAATACTAGCAATATGCTCAATTAGCGTATTGACAGCTTCTATATGCATATCTTGTTTCTTATAAATAAGGAAAGCTTCTTCGAATAGCTGGGCATTGATAGCAATCTCTGCAATGTTGGTTGCGTTGTAGTTGTTGAGTCTATTAATCAAGTCTGTCACTCGGGCCCTATCCGCCTACAGTTAAGTAAGGATTGTGAACCAAGTTCCTGGAAGACGATAGAAATTTTGTGCAAAGTGAGTGTCTCTTACCTTTATAGCAGTAAGGATGAGCAAATTCTGCAGATTCGTATGGTCACTGAAAGCTGTTTGTTCCAATACTAGTTTACTCAATAATGCCATCAATTCTATTGGTAAATCAGCTTCCATGAAGGCCTTTACTGTTGTAGCGACTTCCTCTGGATCCGACGTTTCAGGAAGAACTGTTGCGTTAATCTAGACAAATACATTACCTGTTAGCGTCCCTCTCAATGTATGTTTAGCATACGTCATACTAATTCCTTTCTTCTCATAATCCTGCCAAACAAACTTTAAATTAAGCTTACCTGATCAATCAAAGCCCTACGATGCATGTTGTCGTCGTCCAACGCTTTCTTCCACAGTTCAAGCTCACGGCGTTTCACAAGATATCGCGCTTGATGCTTAAACATCTGGTTCTCATTTGTTACTTTGATTAATTCGTTATCGCATTGACCACGTTGATAAGCGATGAAAGCAAGGTATGGATCTCGTTTTTCACAATATTTCCCAACAACAAGAGAATTATAGTACTATTGTTAACCGACGCAAAATGTAGTTAGTATTAAACGTAACACGTTATTGAAATCAAACTAAATATACAATGTTAGATCGACAAACCGGGTTCTCCTTGAGAAATGCTTCAGGATTATTATTACTATCGATATAAATCTTCGCCAATGCGTTATATACAGCTGGATCTGTACTGCCCTCATTTACACGTAATTGCAACCACGGCAATATTAATTTTAGCCTGTTTCTATTTTACACTTCTTCCACTAACTCATCGACAGGCACAGGACCGGTGACTGAGAGGAGGAGATTTTTGATTACATTCTCGTCACAGTCTACATCCAACAAACCCCCAATGACGGCAGGAGTACGTGCTGAATTTACTCGCTGGACGTAATCCGCAACGTATTTGGTGAGGCCTTGTTGGTAGAGGAAAAGGACGAGATCATGAACAAAGTTGAAACGGTCGCAAACTATAATTAGTGGGAGTTGGTCGGGTAGTTTTGCTTCCTGGCAATAGGTAAGTATGTGTAAATTTATTTAATCGCGTGTTACATAAAATTTGTGACTTATGCACTTCTGGAGCGAATTTAATACCTTGAGGAAATTTTTCACTTTCTCTGGATCATAAAAGTTACTCTCCCGACAGATGCGTTCGACTTCTTTGAGTTGACCAACTTTTACTCCGGCCTGTATATACTTGAAATGCACGTCAGGATCTTGACTAAGATTCACAATAGATCCCAGATAGTAGTAAAGACCTGTTGATCGTAGAAAGTTATAGTTAATTCACGCGATATACTTAAGGACTGACATCCACTTTGTTACCTTCATATGTCTTGAATGATTCAAACAGTTCTATTAGCTTGAGTGGGCCTATTAACTCTGAATATTTTGTCGCAATTTGCACGACGACTTGAAGGTTCTCCCGAATATTTGTTTTTAGCATCGCATTCATACATTCGAGAGTCTGGTCTACGGTTAATTTACCAAAGAAATTGACTATCCACTAGAATTATGATATAAAGTGAGTTACAAATTCATGAATCAAGAACTATACAAATTATATTAAATACCTCTCGATTCAACCCTTGTGCATGGACAATGACGCGCTTGATATCATTTATGTCTTCATAATGTTCTAAAGCCTATCGTAAAATCGATATGGTATACGAGTCAGTATTCAGCTCATAGACATTTTGCAAATAAATAACGTGAATAAGACGCACCCTCTGATATAAACCGGCTTTTTCGCATAAATTAGCAATAGTCGCTCGATCGTAATGAGAGAATCTCAAGTTGGATAGAATAGCATCGGCCACTTGAGGAGCATGCATAAGATTCATTTCAAGAAGACGCGTCTGCAGGTGCCCATATTCCGCAGTATCTTTGTCCTGTAATACATCTAACAAGAATGAAGTAACTTGTTGGATAAGGTTTTGCGACATGAATATATCAACAATCTATACAATAAGAAACATAGTAAGTATGACAATTAGAATAGTGCAACGCATAATTGTTAGTGAGTTTTTCATACTCGTTCAATGTCGGCAAGAGAAGTCCCTTGATTCTCGACCAATGTTTTTGCAAACGCAGCACCCTTGTCTGGATCGCGACGCATTATCAGTTGTAGGATTTGCGTGTAGTCAGGCTGGAAGTTGGCCGTTTGTGCATAACTCGTAATACGGTCGTACTTTCCGAGATCGATTAAGCATTCAATAACCTAGAAACCACAGCGTCGTTAGCATGATATTGACATAATAGGGATTTCGTACGACTGTTGGAAACTCGAGTACCTTGGCAGGTTTATTGCCATTATGATATACTTTAACTGCTGTTTGTGGATCGTGTGGCCGTAGAACATCGCCTAATTCCTCGCTGCTCGTCAACTGGACTCGGGAGTTTATTATAATAAGTACTTGCCATCAATATAATCGATACAAAGCCAGCCAGTATTCGATTGCCTACCTTATCTTGATCCAAGTATTGTTTCATAATCTGAATTTTTCCAGTCTGGGCGGCAATATTAGCGAGTGCTACTGATTCATACTGATTAAGAGGGTTCTTGTGTATTATAGTAGAGAAGTACTTTATAATAGGTTGTGGTTGTCCGGCAACTGTTGGTTGTAGCGTCTTGAGCCGATCAACAACGGCTTGAGTACGAAGAAAGCCCTAACATTTAGAAATTCTACTATCAATAACTAATAATAAGTGTGACGATAAACATAATAATATAATACAGTAAATTATTGTTTGTATGAAATATGGTATCGTCTGTTTTTACCTTGGGTGACTTTGCAGCCATCACAACAGCATTTTCATAGTCTCCGGCATTGTAAAGAGCCATGAATTTCTCAGTGTACAGACGCTCGATACCAGCTAGATCGTGACGAATAGCCAGACGTATTGCAAGATCAGGCTTTCCGAGAATTTCAGCAATGTATCGTAATAGTATAGAATCGTCTATCGTCACCGAGTACACCTGAAAATATAGAACAAAATAAATTAATTGGAATAACGAACCATTGTGATCATTATGCTGGTATCGTCATAAATAGTCATTTTGAGTAAGCCCTTCGGGTTATATCCATATCGCTAATAGATTCTTCATACCTGTCCCCCTTTGTTAACAGCAAGCAGCCCATTACTCTCCTGTGGCTCACCAAACCTAAATATTGATTCCATACTAATCCTATTCATGTAGATACAAGTCTGGGATTCCACTTCATACAAGTGGATGTATCCAAACTTGGTAGCAAGCAAAAATAGTCCATATTTCTTGCTAAACGTCAAATTAACAGGGTAGTCTGTTGCTGCATCGTCGGGGAAAAACACCGAAATATCATTACAATGTTTAGCAAGGGCTCCATTTGGGGCTTGGATAGTTTCGATTATACGAAGCTGTTTGTCAATGTGTTAACATGCGATTAGAACGTATATCGTGGAACAAACAGTTTACGGGTCATATGATTCCGCTATCTCACACACTTTTCGAGCTTACCATTTCTGCACCAGGATTATTTCTTGAGGCAAATACAATCAACGGCGCCTCGACATCAACTCCATTCTCTTCTTTAGTCAATACAGCAAATGCAGCAGCATTTCCATCTAATTCCTGACTAACTTTATATTGACTATTCCATAACTGCATTTTTCCAATCACTCTTTGATTTCCGGGAGTATGCTATTAAAAGCACGCGAGCAAGAAACAATGATGCTCGATTCAGTAATCGTACCAGAAAAGGAAAACCTATACATTCTTTTATTTAGTGTCATTACCTCATCTGACAATTTAATTCCGATAACAGCCGCCCATGTAGATGTATCGTTAACAACATAATCAATAATCTGAGTTCCACTCAAACACTGGTGTCTGTCAAACATTTTTTGTGGTGTCTCAGTATCAACTTTCCAGTGATAAACCGAATTCCTTGTTATAGTTGCCAAAGTCGTGTCATCAAGCCATTTCCAGAATTCAAATTCATCCTTCGCTTCGTGAGCTCCAGCCTTGCTTTGGGTTTCGAGATTAAAGAGTTGGAGCGTTTGTTTTGCTTATGGACGAGCAGAGACAAAAGTTTAAAGTGAGTAAAGTAGGATACAGTATTATAATAACGCGTAATTCAATATAAATATGGAATCGATATGTAATAGTTTGGTAGGAACTGTAACCATTAACGTGGTTGACATATGACCTAAACCCTTGTACGAAAACCCAATTTTACATTTATATTCACCTTTCAATGCCAAAAAACGTCCATTTGGGCTCATAATTACTTGCTCAGCCGTCATATCGTGTTTCCTCACATTATTCGTATTATGAAGATCTACCATCACCACCTGGAAGCGTCCGTCCGGTTTTGTATTGCGAACGGTTATATAGAGGTCTGATGCAAAGCTGCAGCTTCTGAAGCCAATGGCTTCTTTTGCAATACCGTGGTCAGATAACTATCATGCAGTAAATACACACGTTATGTATGAATATGTGACTATAACAAGGTTACTTTAATCGAGTTCTTTACGGTTGATAATTGATATTTATCCAACCTTAAGTCGCTCTTGTAGAATTATAGGTATCATATCAGTCATAGCTGCAGCTGACGGAGCTGCCATATTGAGTTCTTTAATGTTTCGTTAAGTAGAGCAGGGAAAAAAACTTGTAAACTTTGACAGTTACGGTCTTGCAAATAGTAATATTTGGTACTGAAACAAAAACCGCGCAAAATTTTCGTTCGTTGAACAACCAATTTCCATTGGCTGGAATTTGAAACGTCATTCATTCTCTATTAGTGTGCTAAAATCTAATGATCGAAACTATGATGATGGAATGTGTAAAAGCCCCTTAAGCTTGAAAAACCCTATTATAATTTTTCTAGACGTTATAATAATAAGCACCGTAACGGTAGAATTAGAACGTGATACAGTGACACAAATCTTCTTGAAAAATCCACTCTGATCAGCGACTAAACCATGATAATGATAAAGTTCTCAGAACATTGTAGTAAATGATCGCCACCCCCATAATCATCTCCCTGACGGTAATCGCCACTGGACCTTGATCGAACCCCTTTTTCAGTGTCTTGGAAAGTTGACAATATGATTTACAGCGGATTTGGACTGCAAATTTCTAGAAATAATACGATAGTCACCTGATGAATATACATTTTTTTTTGAATAAAAAATTCTATTACGTCTCAAACTGGACTTTCGCTCAGTATTTCACATTGACGAGGAATAAATTTATTTCAGTTTCGAACAAATTTATTACGAGAGGACCCTTGAAGTCCAAAACGTGGTGATTATCAATACATTATTTTGATGATTTGATAAAACTGCATCGTCATTTCCATTATCATACGTAAATATTTTGCAAATTCCTTTGTTGAATGAACGTAAAAAGCCTCAGCCCATTTCTACCACCACTGTTAAGCTTTTGGTTATAGTAAAACAAAAGTAGTAACTGATATTACTGTAGTATTATCGTAGGACTCTCCCTAAAGGAGGGTCCACTGCAACTAGTAATTGATATCCGGCATTTATCTTGTCAGTATCTCCCCAATGCAATGAACGCCCATAAACAACGCGTATAAATGTATAAACAATATAACCTAAGCTGTAGTAAATTTTTAATTTTATTAACAGCTTGACACTTTAATCATGTACGAGAAAGCGTGTGCTGACCTTGAGAAATAACCGTAGATTGAAGCATGGCTTCTCCAACTTTTATCGACGTTAAGCCTCAGTCACAATCTCGATTCCGGAATTCTTATCTATAAGCAAAATTCTTACTCTATAGGCCTAAGAATTACGCGTCGAATGTATAACGCGTCTTTACTGATTGAATTGCCAAATTTTGATAGCAGGCAGACAAAAACTACTTACCAACAGAGAAATAAACTTTTTACGTTCTGTTATAGTACAAATTGCCAGGAATAAAAAAAATTATAAATTTGGTTTTATTAGTATATCAAAGTGTTATACAGTACTAATTACTAGTAACTAAATTCTAAAAATGCGCGCGTCTCTCGAGTAATTCTGACTGCCCGTATTTTATGTTGCACTGTCTACTATATTTTTGTACGTCTATATTGTACTTGCCAGCATTTCTATTCCTGTTTTGTTACTGACATTTCGTTGCTCAATCTGATCTTACCAGGCTTGGCTCTGGTTCTCGGTTATTAATCTTCACAAATACATCCAAATTTTTGGCAAAACAATTGTATAAAGTTTTGCCAATGTCATTGTACACACATTTCAAGACATGTAATAATTTGCATGCGCAGTTCTTAAATTGAATTGTCTTTTTTGTGATTTGTGCAAAGCAGATCTTAGCTTGATTAAAAAATTTTTAATTTTTTTTTGCATCCTCTTAAACACGTTGGAATTGATAATGTATTCTAGACAGAGGTTTATTATAATTAAAAATTGCATATAGATATCAGCCTGTAATTAAATATAATCACATAAATTCTATTATTACTTTAAACTTTATATCTAAAAGATATGGCCAAGAGTTTTTGATTAAGCCTCACCTACATCCAACTAAGACCTCATAAGCGTTTACAAAGCCTTATTGGAATACGTGTATGCCAAAACAGGAACGGCTTATCATAGGGAGATATGGGAGCAATTGTGCCTCTTACGAGCGAGAAAAACGCGCAAATGTTGGTGCCAATATTTCTTTACAGGTTCGAAGCAGATGTGCATTTCCAACAGCTATTTAGGCTAATAATTAGGTAGTTTTTCAGTCGCTCAATAGTGTTATCCTCACAGTCCGTTCGCATCGACATAAAATAGTAAGTAAATGAAACCTTTTAAATGGGTCCGATTCAATCAACTACCGACTGACACTTTGAAACAATGTTTGTCGGTCTAATCTTTCGGACGCAATCTATAAGGTTCAACAAAAACTTTAAATAACTCATTTTTTACATATTCCGTTCCTCAAAAGCACAATCATATACATTCTGCATGTATCCTATTAACGATTGTTCCCTAACAGCGCAAAACTAAGTTTGTTCGGTGGCAAGCGCCGAGAAAAGGATACGTGTTACAGCATGTGTCATATAATTGTATCACCCTCGAGACTGTCAACTATTATAAATTATAACGTTATGATTTCTCCTAATACGTAAAATTTTTAATTTTTCTTACCAAATATTGCATTGTACTCTTGTATTCTTCCAGTTTTGTAGCCCAACAATGAATGTATCGGTTTCAATAAACTAGTTATACACCCCAACATTTTGTAGTTATGTGTATTGAAGAGGAAAAAAAAGGTCGTGTATACTAGTGACAAAGCACGTTGGCTATGCCAAACACCATGCATTGTCAATAATTAAAAGACTGCATTATGGTTTCGTAAAATAAATTTCATATCACATGACTGAGTCAACTGCATGCATGCTGCGGTCATATGCAACACGAATGAGCCATGTTTTTAGGCACAATACGGATGAGTAATGAAGTGTGCGCATATTACAGCTCACCATTTTGACCTTTTCGATAAGACTATAAGGTGGACAGATTTGCATATATCCCTTCCTCGGACCATTGCATATCAGGAAACAGGCGCCCAATATTGCCACAATTCGTGTAATAAATTTAGAATTAAGCTTAGATTAAAATAGTCATGCGTCAAGAATAATAGTTTTTGTGTCTGGCTGGAACATTACGGCCGAACAATGGAAAGTGTGTTGAGCGTTTAATATAGTCTTTGTAAACTGTACCACCCCATAAATAGTCATCGTAAAAACTCGGAGAGTATGATGACCGAACTTCAGCCGTATTTACGTGATACAATATTTGTATCTAAAATCACTCTAACCGTATTTGATTTAGACGTCATTGAACGATATCTTTTTTGGTAATAATGCGGAGCAGATTAAAACAAAAATGAGATGAGAGCCCGTTTTTCAAATGACATTCTATGCAGACTAACACAGTAGCCCCCCACTCTTTTGTATATGATGGCACAATGGATACTGTTACAATTATACTTAGGGGGATACTATAGTTGGAAATTGTGCAACGATCCATGCCACTGGTTCGATGTTTAACACCCTTCTGTCATCATGCTTGGCAAAAATGTCACGCTTTTGGCCCAAATAATTATTGTTATAACAAAGAAATACATATCGTACAAATATAAATAATAATTTCCACTAATGATGTCCTAAAATGGAATTCAATTTACAAAAAAAGTCGATTGTCTGTGAACAGTTACCGTGGGACGAAAAGGCAAATTCTTTCGTTATTATTTATATTTCTTTTTTACACAAAGGTTCTGTGTCTACACGTGACTTTCTGTTAAAAGCCATGCCCAGCTTCAAATCGTCCTGAAATTTTGATCTTTCTTTCAAATAGACGTACATACTAATACTACTATTACTACTATTACTACTATTACTGCGACTACTATATTACTACTGCTACTGCTACTTCTACTGCCACTTCTACTGCTACTTCTACTACTGCTACTACTGCTACTACTGTTACTACTGC